ACGTGAGGCGTGGAATCATGGGGTGGGGGAGGCAGCGATGGAGTAGATTCCTTGGCATAATAAACCTGACACGCTTGAACCTGATGCGGCACGATAAGGGTCGTTGCTTCGGAGTTTGTCAACTAACGAGGAGATATGGTACAATGGCAACTTCTGGATGTGACGGCTACGGTTTCGCGTCGTACCATATGGCAAGTACAGCCGATGGGTTAACTCATGAAATGTCAACCGAAATTTCAAAATTCGTTTCCGTTCCGAAAAGATTAATTAAGTACGGTTGCAAAACTAACCATTTTGCAGCATAATTCTATAATACTTCAGTTACCTCAGGGTGCCTGCTTTCGAATGAACACCTTTTTGACTAAATGCAAAAACCACTACAAAAAATGACTTTTTATGTAACATGCAATTTTTTCATTGCTTTTAGTTGGTCCTAATAATTCAATAATATTTCATTGAAAACATGCATAAAAATATTCGTTATCGTACTCTTCCGGTGGAAAAGTGCGTGTTCTTCCAATTTTATACTTGAAGGAAGGGTATGATTCAGTGCCCAAAAACTTTTCTGATTCCTGAATAATTTTGAATCCGACCTGCCGTTACACTTGCATTCAGGGTTTCCAAACTACAAGCCGTATATTTTCTGTGTATGTAAAACCATTCATTTATCTACGATATTAAAAGAAGCCCTAGTGGGTTTACGGAAATTCAGCAGTGGATGTGAGCCATATTGTTAACTTAACAAGCCACATTAGTAAACGCAGAGACATGACGCTTTATCAATGGTCATTTCACGGTGTTGAAAAATAGCACAATTAGAAACTTTTTTGAAACCGAATTATAGCCTTTCTTTGAGTGTAAAATTGGAGAACGACGTAACTGTCTACCGACTGAGCAAAAGAACGATTACATTTTGAGAATTTTTTCCATTAAATATGATTGAACCCTTAAGGGCAATGAAAATCAATGAAAAAATTACATTTTATTTAAGTTGTCCTTTTTGCAGAGTATAGTTCTTGCATGCAGCCAAAAAAGTTCTTTCGAAAGCAGGCGTCCTGAGGTAACTGGATTATTATAGAATTATGCTGCAAAATCATTAGTTTTGCAACTATACTTAATGAGTCTTTTCAAAATAGGAAGGCATTTTGAAATTTCGCCTGCATTTCATGAGTTAGCCCACGTACTGTACCTGGCACATTCTGCGGGCGTAGGAAGATTGGTCGTCCGAACTTGTTAGTCACTGATTTCAAACCCGCCTCGTGATCTGTTGACACTGGTTGGTCATGGAACGAGGTAGTTAAGAGTGCCGTTGGTGCTACGCAAGTCCGCTTTACTATAAATTGGTTTTGGAAAACGTTACAGGTGTTGTAGTCCGTGCGCGGTGGAAACTGCGGAAGTCGTTATTTGCGACAGTCAGAAAGTCAAAATGGACGCGGGGCAAAAACTTAAAATGCCCTTCAAGGACAAGCGAGTGAGCGTAGATGCTATTGGCTGGACTGCCCACTTGTAATCACAGAAGGGAGATAAAAAAGCATTTCTATACTCATGCGGAAGAAAGAGATTTTGCACTTAATTGGTTTTTCTGATAAATGCCACAGAGTAGTTATGCCAAAAAAACTTTTGCATACATGAAAGTTGACTTTTTACTAGTAAACATAAGTCAAGGGGCGAAAGAACAGGAAGCCTCGCGTAAATTTCACTAAAATGGAAGTTTGTCTACATCTTAGAATTTCGGTTTGCATATTTATGTACTTTTGCTTCCTAAAAAGGAGTCATGAATTTGCGCGCAAACTTCCATTTTGTTAAACCCACAAGTCTGCGAAAGTGTTCTCCTTCAAATGCCTAGTTAATATTTTGAGAAAACTTTGAGTTAATTTTAGCCATAGCGGTAAATGTGCTACCTCGTGAAATATTAACTGAAATTCTGAAATGCGTTTTCAATTTGAAAAGATAACTTAAGTAGGGTTGGTTACGTTATTTATCATGTCTCATAATACTTAGGTATTTTAATAAAACCAGGATGCTGTGCTCCGAACGAACTCCTTATCGACCGCCTACGTAAATAAACCCCCGCAAACAATGACTGCATAGTTGGCATGGGTTTTCCCTATCGATTTTCGATGTCATCATAACTTTAGTTTAATCCTATAGAAAAGTGCTCAAAATAGCTTTCTCACACTCACTGGGAAGTAAATTCCGTTTACATGTGATCGTATACCTGCAGGCAGAGTATATTTTGATTTTAAAAACGTTTATAATTATGAGATTTTTTAGACCGTGAAATGCCCAATCACACACCCTCTTGTCAGCGCATTTGTTGATGCTGCTTACAAGGTGACCAATGCGGCCCACATTTACTGCAAAATTTTATGAGCACTATATGTCCTTTTCATAACAGCAGGAGAAAAAGTATGATTTCCCCTGCAGAAAAAATATACAGCTTAAATTGCAGAAGCTCTGAATGGAAGTGTGCCGGTAGATCGTGTTCAAATTTACTCAACAGCTGAGAAAGTTTTTGAAACCAGAATATACTCTCTCCTCATGTGAGAACTTTGAAGAAGACGTAACCGGCTACCAGAAGAGTAGAAAAAGATTATTTGCGTGCATGCTTTTCGAAAAATATGTTTACATTTACAAGGGTACCAAAATCAAGGGTAAACATTCATGCTTCATAAGTAACCGTTTTTGGGGAAAAAATCAATGCTAGCGGTCGATAAAAGACTCATAAGATGGCCCATGCTCTATCATGATTATGCAAAACGATAATTTGCATGACAGTCCTCCTTAAATAATCTTGTTTAATTGAAAACACCGTTCAGAATTTTGATCAACATTTCATGGGATTGTATATCTCATGCTTGTAGATTTGGCCCCTCTGCAAAGCACTTTGTATCTATGGAATTGGGTCTGTAATGAAGCAAACAAACAATTCCAAGAAGCAGCGGGAATCTTCTGACGTATTAGCGGAGGAAATGCTCGCCAAAACAGAAAGACCCATTCTTGTCTCCCATGTTCCCTCGAGAAGGAGTAAAGTGCATTAGCGCTTATCTTAGAACCAGTCTAGTGAGGTATTTCTGATGGAAGCACTTGTGGAAAGAGGTTTTCGTTATTTGGCAAAGCCCGTGTTGACCACATGTTATTGTTATGTACTTCCGCTCACCTCAGTAATTAGGCCTCACATTGAATGTGCATACAAAGCTGACACAAGAGGTTATTAAGAGACAAAACATGAGACATCGATACAATGGCAAATGCTCTCAAGACCCGTCTTCTTTGGAAACGGTTTTATAACAAACTATGAAACTTATCTTTGCAGCAGATGACTGGGTACATGAATAAGCGTAGGGCATTTTGTGATATTTCATGGGTACATCGAAATTCCCATGGGTTTTATCATTGGCAGAAAGCATATGGTATTTTTATGCAAAACAATTCTTCTCATACGCAAAGCATGGTCCGCTTGGAGTTTGCTCTGCTAATAATATTCTGATTTTATTGTCACTAACCAGTTTTTCGACACATAGACTTGTATATCGTCTAGACCTGCCACCACTCGTTGTTAGCAGAGATGTTACCATGAATCACGTCGTGGAACAACTACTTACGTGATCAGTGGCCAGCTAATCACTTGTTTGTGTTGGTGAGTACATACCAGACCCATGGGAACGTCATCTTATTCCGCTGCTCGCGCGCTCCCGACAGGACAGCTCATTGGGACTCACAAGCAAGATGTGAATTCTCGCTAAACTGCCCCGTGTACTGAATAACTCGGCTCTTCCTACTCTCAAGCTTCTGTCTCCAGATGGGACAGAACTTCGTTTGACCTAACATTGCCGATCGCTCGCAAACCTTTAGGCCTGAGAAGTTCCTATACATGAAACCGGACTAAAACCCTTTTTATCGCAGTAAGCCTAATCAGGAACCATGAAAAAGTAAAAAATAAACACCACGCAATTGCCTGATAGACATACTGCATACTGCATTAATTCGTGGCGAATATTAAGCATGCTATCTCTCTGGAGGGTTTTTAAAACGTTGCTGAAACCGTGGTAAAATATCTGTCAAGCTTTTAGGTTTCACAGGTTTTGAGGGTTTAGTGAAATTATCAATATTTAAAATTAAACCATAAATGTCGTTTCTAGTTGGAATGAATGTATTATTAAAAATGGATGTGCTAGTGTTTCTCTCATATATTCGGTTGTTCTTATGGGCATGCATATATTGCGTACATCCGTGAAAAATGTCCATTATTTTTATTGAAATTTTCCTGTTTTTGGAGAGTCTGGTTTTTCTTAAAGGAAAAGCTAATATATACGACACTCAGTTTGTGTTTTCATTTAACTAAAGATAGTTTATTTTGTATCGGCAAACTTGGCCAAAGGTTTTAGGCCATTTTCGAATTTTAAAGCAGTTTTGCGCATATTTACGTCATGGCAACTCGATGAACTACGTAATATTTGTTTGTACATTTTTTAACATCTTCAGTGCCAGAGGATTCAAATGAACAAACTCGTCATGTCTATTTCGGAAATTGCAGGCCGACTGAGCTTGTGCATAGCCAACTCGCCATTGAGCTCCTTCCGTATCTTTGCTGAAGAAGTCGACGACCGAACCAGTGAGATCAGACTGGCTACACCTTTTTAGCACACTGAATTAGTGAGATCGGACTGGCTACACATGTTAGCACAAACGCATGTTGAATCCCGTTGGAGCTGCACACACCGCCCACAATCGACCAATCTGAGTTCGCTGTATGAGCGACACGTTCACCCCTCGATCTCACGCCTGATTATCGCCTCCGGTCTGTGGGCAACTCTAACTTCAAGTGGCTGGAGAGTCACATCAGCTATCACATAGGTCCAGTCTACATCTGCCAACTTTATTTTATAAATGTCACCACACCGCTGGCCAAACCAAACCTGCTCGGGGAGTCGGAAGCAATAATGCGGCATTCGCCTCTGTTTCTTTGTCTGCTTGCAACGCTTAAAATATCCGCGGTGATGGCCTTCGGTGGTGGATACGTACAGGAATCAATAGGCGGCCTCGTCGTCGATCCGCGAGACCGAGCCGAACGTGAACGCATCAACACCGAAATGGATGCCAACATAATCAGCTATGGTGACATTGATCTGCTCTTTACCAACTTCAAGTCGGAAGACGGCCGGATGGTCCTGAACATCTCCTGCAATAAGTCGGAGCTCGTTTTTGAGCAGAACGAAGTCCCACAACAAGTGACGTGCAATTTGACATACGCACTTACTGTGCCTATCGCTCTCTCCTTCGAAATTGACTACCCTCCAGTGGCACAATTAGCTCCTGCATTCTGGCTGCATCTGCAGCCTACCTCGTCTGGACAAGTGACCATTCCGCTGAACCTGAAAATCCTGGGTGTACAGATGGGCATAGCCTATCTGAGAATTTGGGCTCGTAAAGCCATCGAGCAGAGTGGATCCGGTCTCTATGTGTGGCACAATTGGAGCCGGACCGACCCTCAACTCGTGGATGCCTACTTGTCGACACTGATGAACAGGAGTGAGTTCGGCAGCAGTGACTCCGTCATGGGTCTTCCGGTTAAAGTTTTGCGAGAACGTGGCGTATTGGAAATGGTTTTCAGGGTGATAGTTGTATGTCTGGTCATTGCGCTTACGTTTGCAATGGGATGCGAGCTGGATCCCCGTCTGATTTGGAAGCATTTGAAGAAGCCCGTGGGGCCAATCATTGGTTTCTGTTGTCAATTCGGAATCATGCCACTGGTGAGTTCGAACTGACCATATGTCATTTAATGCTGAGAAGCTCCGTGTCATCAGAACTGAAGCTTTTGCTTTCGAACACAATAAGCCCTGTGTGGATACGTAATTTGTCTCATGATATGCCCTCCGTTGTGGGGTTTTAATTCAGCCGGTGCTGCTTATGTTTGTCAAAAAACTCATCTTAAATTCTTAACCAGAATCTCCACAAATGGATAGGAAATCTCCGAAATATTTTATTGGGAATGAAAAAGTTGCGAATTTACAGTGCAGTGATATTTCCGCTTGCTTATTTCGGAACTTATACATTGTTGAGCGATCTTCTGAGGTGCTAAAACCAAAAACGCCTTTTGATTTTCGATGATCAGCGAATGTTTCGTCACAAAATTAGACTGTAATATTTTTTCTGGCTCGTTTACATGAATGTTATTCAATTAGTTCATGGCAGTTGACGGTCTTTGACTCAACTGTTTATTAAAATTTCGCGACTTCTAGGAGTTTTCAGTCCTTCCACAAATAATTTCTGAAAATATTAGTTTAGAATGCGCGGGATGGCACGACTTATAAAATCGCACAGACTCCTTTAAAAATCGTTGCTATGTACAAGTCAGCCCTCCACCCCGAAAAATCAATTTTACTTTTAACGAGATCCAATTTACGACTGCGGCCGGGCAGCACCTCCGATTCGTATTTGATAGGTCATATCTCTTTCCGTAGCGCCCTGATACACTCGTGATATTTCCACTGAGAAATACAGACAATTTCTACGAAAAATGGCTTCGGCAGATCTGCATTTGCGCTGCCTAATAAAATAGGGATTTCTGAAACCAGCCCCAGGAATAGTTTTTGAGCACACAGAGGAATAGGAACATTTCGTCACTGCAAAGGGCATGAGAAACTGAACTTTGGACTTTTGGAAGTTGAAGAACTTATGAACCATATCGCGCACATTCTTTATCCGTCATCTGTGCTGCATGCATGTGTTTTTTGTGTTTCTGAATCCAGGAAATCGTCAGCGCTATGGGGGTAGAATAAGACCCAAAGGGTGCTGTAACGACCCATGTGCACTTTCGTTGACACCTATTTGATATTGTATCTTAACTCGGTTTTGCCTGGTATGTGTTAACCTATTTGTATTCTTTGCCAAAAGTATGGCGTATTATTCGATTACGTCGTAGAAAGTGACTTATCTCACTCAAACACTCATTAAAATTTCGCAATTACCCCGAAGACTTTTTGTCCTGGAAAGGGAATTCCAAGTCCTTCCACAAATAATTTCTGAAAAATTAGTCTAGAATGCGCGAGATGGCATGACTCATGAAATTTCACGGACACTTTAAAAATCGTTGTTACATATCAGTCGCCCCTTCGCACTCCCCAAAAGTGGATTTTACTTCTTAAGAGGACAGATGTACGACTCCTGTCGAGCAGCAGCTAAGATTTGCAGTTGATGGGTCTTATCTCTTCGTTTAGCGCTCTGATACACTCGCGAAATCCAGGCAGTTGTAACGAAAAATGACTTCGGCACATCTGCATTTGCATTTTCTAAGAAACTCGAATTTCTGATACTAGCACCAGAAATCCCTTTTGAAAGCACTGAACAACATGATTATGTCGCATCTCCAAGGGACATTGTAAAAGCCTTCTCAGACGAAGTCATCATCCCCACTACTACATGGACAAGTAGGAAAATTAAACATTGGAGTTTTGTTCGTTGAAGTACTTAAAACCCGTCACCTGTGCTGTGTGCACGTACAATTTTGTGTTTCTGGTTCCAGACGGTTGTCAGTGCTATCTCTATCTCTAGACCCAAACTTTGCTGTAATGATTCATCCGCACTTTTGTTGGCACACAGTTTGGTCTGATATGTGTTTCCCGCTAGTATTCTCTGCAAAAAGTTTGGCATATTTTAGTTTCAAAAGTTAATGGACCTATTTTCACCAACTTTGATGCAGATTTAAGTAAACCGAAATTCAAAAATGCTTTTTTTGACCCGAACAATGACTTGAGCAGAGTTGTAATACCAATCGACGTTAGGCATAATCCCAAAATGATGCAGTTACTTCAGGATGCCGGCTTTTAAATGAGCTTCTCACCGGCCGCCTGTAAAAACGACTTTCTGTAGAGCATCGCTGCTTACGTAACGTGAATTTTTTCATTGATTTTCAATACCATTGTAAATTCGAAAATATTTCGCAGAAAAAATTTACAAAAATATTCATTCTTTTAATAATTTGGTAGAAAATTATGTCTTCTTTAAACTTCACACTTGAAAGAAAGCTATAATTTACCAAACAACTTCACCTTTTCGCAAATAATTTCGAACCCGAACTGCCGCTGTACTTACATCCAGGGTTTTGACACTACAAGATGCACACATTTCGTTTACGGAAAATAATACATTTCGATACCTTATTAAGAGGAGAATATAAAAAAATTATAAGATTCAGCAGTGGATTTGAGCCATATTGCAAACGTTACAGGCAAAATTGGTAAATGCAGGGACACGTTTTATGAACGGGCATTTCGCGGTCATAAAATATCTGACGACTAAAAAACTTTTTAAAACCGCATTACGCCATTCTTTCAAGTACAAAATTTGAAGAAGTAATTTGCGTCCAAATAAGAAAGCGAGTAAATATTTTTTGTAAGTTTTAGATGAAATATTTTAGGATCTATAGAGGCATTGAAAAGAAGTGAGAAAAATGTATGCAGTATATGTAGTCACTTTTTTCAGATTGCGGTTTCTTAAGGCGACCAGAAAGAAGATAGTTCAAAAGTCGGCATCGTGAAGTTTTTGAATTATCCTGGGATAAGGCCTCACGGTGATTAATATTACAATCCTACATAGGTGATCTTTTCAAGTCAAAAACCCATTATCGATTTTCGGTTAACATCTCATGAGTAAGCGCGCGTCTGTGTCCCGCGTCGTTCCGGAAGTGAGCCGATTTGAGTATATGGAAATCTGACTACGATGAACGATCGGAAGCGTATAACATACCAACATTCATGCAATCGACTTTTAGTGCTGTTAGGTGATCTGAGGAGCGGACGATGAACTCTCTGCTTCATGAGCATTACGACTGCCAGTGAAGAACGCCTCCAAACAGTCAGTCAGCAATAGGCCAACGGCAAACTCTGTGTCCGAGCTTCTAATCCCGAGTTAGGCGATTGTCGGGCAATGCTCTCACCACTGCGTTGACAGGCTCGCGTCTGTATGGACGTGTGCAGCCCGGACTAACGTGAGGACAGCAATTGGGCCAGACACAGTTACTCCCTTGTCTCTTTTTTTCATTAAAATCTCCGTAGCTGCTTACTGCTCGTTGTTGCGCGCGACGACCTCTGTAAGCAGCCGACTCCAAATGTCACTGTAGATCCGAGGTGTTCTTTTTTCCCGGAATTCAAGGTAGATGGGTGCGCGTCACTCCCATCTGACGCATCTTATTATGCCGCTGTTGGTGAGTTTTTGTCATACCTGAAAGAAAGTGGACTTTTTTAAATTATGCAAACGACTTTTGCTGCTGATTTCTTAATTAGTTTGACTTGACGATAGTTCCCTCTAGGGGCGCGTAGTATAGGCAGAGCAACATTACACACAAAGACAAGGGAGACTGACAGCCGGCGGTCAATAAGTCAGAAATGGCCAATCCAGTCTCCCTTGTCTTTATCGGCAATGCTATTCTGCATATATATATATATATAATAGGGGGCACTCACCGATCGTTCGTACGGAACAACCTCGTTCCGTTGTGCCTTATGGACTCTATCTCCAGTTCAACCTTTGTCGGTCTAAAATCTTTGCTAGTAGGCATGTATTAAAAAAGAAAGAGAGTGAGTTCTCCTCAAAAATTTACAAGACGGTGGCACCAGCCGGCCGCCGAATAAAATTAACAAGAACGAAAGTGAGATTTCACCGCTAGATCATTTACTGAAACAAGGCAGACCACTGATGTTTGAGAGCGGTGAACACGGAGTGACAGTGGATTTTTGGGCTGCGGGAGAAGGGGTAGTGAGCGGTTGCGACTCTCTTTGCCGGGGGGAGGGGGAGAGGAGGGAGGAGGAAACGGATTAATGTGACTGCAGGCGGCCGGCTTAACGGCAGACAACCGTTTGAACAGCTGTCAGCTAATAAAGTGATTGCATAATGATGGCATGTGTTGGCGTAAACGGGATCAATTTTTTTTCCACGGATAGCGTTCGCAAGTGCAACGGTGGGTTGAAGTTCAGAATTATTCGGAATGTGGAAAATTTTTGGGAAGCCGAGTCATACGCTTCCCCCGAATATAAAATTGGAAGAAGACGTCATTTTCTACCGAATGAGTGAAATAATGAATATTTTTATGCATGCTTTCCATGAAATATAGTTGAATTTTAAATGGCATCGAAAATCAATTAGAAAATTACATGCTAATTAAGTAGCCTTTTTATCAACTGTGGTTATATATGCGCCGATAAGAGGTTCGTTCGACAGGCAGCATCCCGAGACAACTGAATTATTATAGAATTATGCCGCATGATGATTAATTTTAAAACCCTACTAAAGTAGCCATTTCGAAACGGAAATGCATTTCAGGATTTCCAATAACCTTTCATAACTTTGCACACCTACTGTATCTAGCGGCATTAAGCAAAGTCGTTGCAGCTTTGTCTGCCCTCACATAGAAAGTTAATATGCTGCATCAACTTCTGCGGGCGGCAGCCTGTGTGATTAAAATCATAAACTCGCCACATCACAGTACATGACGCGTGCTCGGATAGTCATACGAAGGCCCGATGATCAGTGGAGTCAGTCAGAGGTAACCCCTAGAAGTTCAGAATCTCTAAAGAAGACGGAGGACGAGTTTTTTGTGTTTACGGTCTGCCTTCGGTAAAAGCAAACTTGATCATTTTTATTTTCACAAATCTCATTCAGGATTGCGATGACGATGCTTTAAATTGTAATCCAATGCCTTTGGGATAAAAAGTAGTTATTTGCTCAACTGCGGAAGGAAAGGCAAGCGATCGGCATTCAAAATTGGTGGTCAAACTTCTGCCAACTTTGCTGAAAACGCCGGTTAGCTAGATTTTGACATTTATTTAGACACAACACGACAAACCGGGAGCTATCCCTAAACAGAGAATAACTCTTTAACCCATGCTCTTGGAATAAGTACGCACTAACATACTCGAGATATGAATTTCGAAAGAAATATCACAGGCTTATAGTCGAACAAATAAAACACATTCCAAATGTATAGCTTAGGATCTCTTACGAAGATAACTGAAGCTAGCACGTAATCTGTGTACTTAAGCAACACTCGTTTTAATGATAACTTGATATTGCATATGCGAAAGTAATTATATTTACATAAGATTGCTACATCTGTGCCTAACTAGCTGACGCGAATTATCACAGACAGCGCTGTAAAAAGATACAGAATTTTGCAATGCCGATGATAACTCTTCCTAATTGATCGTCCTCCCATATAGACTTGTTCGGTTAGATTTTATTTCGAAGCCGCACCCGTTAGGGGGTTACGGCTTGTGTGAGGACGCTCTATCGACGTGTCGAAACGCACTGCAGTGAGCCGGAAGACAAGATTGCCGAACTACAAAATTTCCGACGGGTCTTCAGAGCCAATGGCTACCCGCACAACTTCGTCAACCGGTGCATACGCAAAAGGGACGAAAGGCCTAACCGCACGGACACCAAATCTTGGCGAGCGCTTCCGTACCTCAAGAAGGTTTCGGAAGCTGTCGGCCGCCTTCTCGCATCACTTGGGGTTGCAGTTGCACACAAAACGAAGGCAACCATCAGACGTCAGTTAATGAAACCAAAAGACCCGCTGCCACTGCAGGAAACGTCTGGAGTAGTTTATCGGATCTGGTGCAGTTGTAGACAAAGCAACTACGTCGGGAAAACCGGAAGACAGTTCGAACGTGAATGGCTGAGCAAGCTGCAGCAGTGTGCAGAAATGACGTCAGCTCTCAAGCTGCGACTCAGCCGACGAGATTCGGCCACAGATTCAAATTCGACGAGGCCGTTTTTTTCGCAAGAGGTGACAACCGCGTGGGCCACGAGCTGCTTGAGTCATGGTTTACTGACTCCCAGTCCATTAACAAATGCAATGACCTTCCTCTTCCATACTCGGTGCTAAGACTTAGCCTAGGCGGAGTAATTAGCTACGCGGGGAGCGAACAGGTGAACATTTCCCCAACACAGAGGTTGGTGCGTCGCATGATCGAGCCATCATCACACCAACATGCAACGCACGTGATGAAATTGCGGCAAGTGTCCGCCATCAAACAGTTATCGCACCAAGTGCAAAGGTCCCTACTGAGGGGGGGAGCCGCGAATATTCATTGGTACGCAGTAGCATGACGAATGTATCCTATAAATACTGCAGCCTCTTGTGCATGAACCACCCGTATCTACTATTTGTCTGATGATGGGTCCAAACAGGAATCCGAAACCTCAGGCCAATAAAGTTCTTGTCCCAGCGATCGTGTCTCCTTCTTAAAGTTAGGGCTATGTGTTATGGGCTGAGGTTAGGCACTGGGGCTACGGACTAAGGTAAGGGATATGGGCAAGGGGTTAGGGTACGAGGTTAGTGTTAAGCCCTCTTTTATGACTGGTCCTGTATGACAGATGGCTGGAGCTTTCCTGCTGCAGCTGCGGTAACCAAATAAGATTTGACTGTTCAAGTCCAACCAAGATGGATCCTAACTTTCCGCTATTAACCCACTGAAGGAAGCTGTCTCCAACTGCTCACGGTCAGTGGTTCTGAACTGCACGTAAAATCGGAAAAAATATCAGCCAGGAAGGCAGTTCGTCGCATCTTCATTGCAATCGAGGGCTTTCCATCCAACTTATTAATATCTACTGTTTTCTTCACTTATTCGAATCGTCTCGGCATTTGAGCGAAGTTGTTGAAGCCTTGTCTGCCCTAAGAGATAACAGACAATATGCTAACAGCAACTGAATTTCCTTGCATTTGCATCTTCCCTAGGAGAGTGCAATGGTCTTTGTCAAGCAGTGGACTTGCCCTTTTGCTTTAAACAGGCCAACAAACTGCAGGCAGTGAAGCATAATTACCGCGGGCTGCCGTCAATTAGTCTCAATCGGTTGCCAGCTTCTGTTGCAAACCATCATTTAAAGTACTGCGGCCTGTTTGACAAACTGTACAGTGCGTGACCGATCTCATGACCTGTTAGCCAAAATTCTGGAATGTATTTCCGATTAGGAAGGATTACTTAAGTGGGTTTGTTATACTGATTAACATGCAGCATAACCCTGTAACATTTCGGAATCGCTTTTTAATGCACTTCGTTTTGACCTCCTGCAGAAACCACACTCGGAAAGAAATGATTACTTATGTAGCACGCATTTCTTTCCATTGATTTTCGATGGTCTTATAAATGTAAATATATTTTATAGAAAACATGCACAAAATATGCTTTCTTTTACTCTTTTGGTAGAAAATTGCATTGTCTTAATATTAAGGGCTGAAAAAAGTGCATATTTAGGTTTCAAAAAGGTTCTTACTATAAGATTTTTAAGACCGTGCAATGTCCATGCATGCAGGACCGCAGATGTAACTTTATTAATGCTCATCATGAAATGTACAACACAATCCGGATCCATTGCAAAATTTCATAAGCAATTTGTGGTATCGTCTTATAGACAGAGCGGAATATGTGATTTTTCTTACGTGAAAAGCATGCACCTTGTAGACTGTAATTTCTGAACGCTGATGTAATGGCAGATCAGGCTGAAAATTAATCGGGAATTGGGAAACTTTTTTTAAACCTAAATACACACTTTCCTCAGGCATAAAATATGAAGACAAGTGATTTTCTACCAAGGGAGTAAAAGAAATCTTATTTTGTGGATGTCTTCTATAAAATATATTTGAATTTATAAGACGATCGACAATCAATAAGAAAAATGCATGTTACATAAGTAGTCATTTTACCGAGTGTGGTTTCTGCAGGAAGTTAAAAAGAAGTGCATTCAAAAAGCGAAATCCTGGCGAGTCCGAAATGTTACAAGGTTATGCTGCATGATAATCAGTATAACAAACCCACTTAAGTAATCCTTCCTAATCGGAAATGCATTCCAGAATGTTGGCTTGTATTTCATGAGATCGGTCGCGCACTATATTTCCCTAGTAGAGTAGTAACAAAGGGAGTTAAAATGCTGCATCACCTTATGCGAGCGGCAGCCAGTGTGGTTAAAATTATAAACTCGCTACATTACAGGACATGACGCGTGCTCGGACAGTTATAAGATAGCCCGACGATCAGAGGGTCAGTCAGCAGTTACCTTCAGCAGTCCAAAATCTCTAAAGAAGCCGGAGGAGGAGTTTTTTGTGCTGGTAGATTGCCAACATGCAAAAAAGGCCTACTTTCGGTTAAGGCAAACTTGATCTCATTTTATTTCCACAGATCTCATTCGGGATTGCGATGACGGTGCCTATCAAACCAGAATTCGGCCTGGGTCTTCTCACAACCGGCTGCTCTCCCGGTGGTGGTAACTCAAACGTCTGGACTCTCCTACTGCATGGCGATCTTAACCTCAGTATGACGATGACATTCATCAGCAGCGTTGCTGCCCTAGGTAAGCCCATTCTGCTTGATACGTCTTGTCTGTACTGATTACTTTTCGGGAAGAACGTGGGAGAACAGAATTCGCACAGTGTGAGGACTTTCGCGCACCGGAATTCATGCGTCGTTAGGCGGATTTAGTCTTGCCTATTTCTGCCTGATACAGAGAGAGAGGAGTACTTTATTTTGAAAATAACATTCAAAACTTTCAGCAAAAAACGGTTCTCCAGTACACAGCGATTACCATAGAGATTAACAGGTATTGGACAGGTGGACATAATTATATATGAAGAAAAAAGGACTTTAAGGTGCAAGATCAAGTTTTAGCTTTTGTTTTTCAGCATCTTTACGGGTGAGATACCGGGCTAGAAATGGCAGTATGGAATTCTGATAAGCCGAAGTGCGACAGGGGATGTGGCGGAAGCATCGACGCATGGGGCGTAAGGATTTCGCAGACATTAACTCATTATGAAGGGGATGGACGGTGTCATTCAGAATTCGGTCAGCAAATTGTATAATAGTGTATTTTAGGATAACAGGCAATGCCCTTGGTGACCCTATTGAAAACGGTACATAAAATATAAATGTTAAATGTACATCTTACTAATATTTTGTCAGTAACATATTTGTCCACGGAAAACATTTTCACAATGCGGGACTGCGAAGGGTGAGGCAGGCGGTCTCCTCAGTGTACATATGAAATTCTCAGTGCAGTTATATACAATCAGCATAAAGTGCTGTCATTTGCATAGTTTGAGAGGAGAAATTTCATTAAAAGTCAGGGATGTGTTAGGTAGGGATGAAATCAAGAAATGCATTTATGGCTGGCCGCAGATAGTCCTGTTGTGAAAGTCGTTGTTTATCAAAGATCAAACTATCGAGCTGCCTTTTGAATGCAGCGATTGTATCAGATGTCGCTATTTCACTTGGGAGTGAGTTCCATGGTCGAACAACACGCTGGCTGAAGGAAAACTTCCGATTGTCTAGGCAAGTACGCTCCCGCTTGACTTTGTACGGGTGACCGCGCAGGTGACTCGTGGTCGTGAATTCAAAGAAGTCGTCAGTTTTTAGCGAACACTGATGTCCGTGGATAATGCTCCACCGTATTGAAGTGTCACTGCACGATGATATCAACTAAAATATGATAGGAAACACCAGCAGCAGAGGCGAGCATTCGAATGACACGTTTAAAAATAATTAGATCTTTTTGAAGTAAAGCTGGAAAAATAACTGGAGAACAATAAAGATTGAGTGGAAGAATACAGCCATCTATGAATAGCCAGATTAAGGACTGGGGTGTGCGATATGAACGCAGACGACGAATGTAATAAACAAGATTTTGAATTTTGGTTAAAAGGGTTTCCATATGAAGAGAGAAAGAGAGATTTGAGGACAAAGTAACACCTAGGTACGGGAAAGAGGATACCTCATTGGGAAGAGTATCCAAAGGTTCAGGAATGGGAGAGGGTCGCAATCGAAACACACACTGTACTGATTTCTGATTGTTGAGTAGGAGTCCATTATTCGACGACCATGCGGAGACGTGATCTAAACCATCCTTCAAAGACCGTAGGTGAGTCAGGTTTTTGAGTGGGTGGCATATGACATTGTCATCGGCATACTTAACATACAGGCAGTCGTTTGGCGATCTCAAATCCTCAGTATGTAGGGAGAAAAGATGAGGGGATAAGATGGAACCTTGTAGAACTCCACAATTGTTTGGAAGAATAGAAGATTTTCTCTTTCCCGACTGGACAAACTGTGTGCGGAAGGAAAAATAATCTCTAAGCCAAGAAACAACCCAGCTCGGAGCGTCACACGCAGCTGCTTTGGTCAGTAGGAGTTGGCGCGGAATAGTATTGAAGGCGGATGAATAGTCGAGAAAAGCACATGCATATGCACGGCATCCCTTGTCTAAGTCCCTCAAAGCTGAATGGACAACTAAAGCAACAACATCCAAGGTGCTACGCTTTGCCTTGTATGCAAATTGTAGAGGATCAGAAAAATTGACGGAGGAGTACTTACGGGAATCTAATGCAACTCGTTCAGTAAGTTTCAGGAGTACAGAAGAGCAGGCAATCGGACGGAAAGATTTAGGAGTAAAAGTTAAAGATTTTTTAGGGATTGGAGTAATTCTTACTGTACGCCAGGCGTCAGGAATCTTGGACTCTATGAAGGATAGATTAATAAGGTGGGTCAAGACGGGAGCTATCTGCAAACAGCAAGACTTAAGGAGAAAAGGAGAGACACCGTCCGGCCCAGCCGCCGTTAACCCGCGAACCTTTTTGAGATGGTGTTCCACTGCTGTCACAGTCACAGGAGTAAAGTCACATGGTGGTAGGTAAATTTTGTTTGGGCGAGAATGGGAGTCGTTAGAAGTACAGATAAAATTTCGATTTAAAGAGTTTAAATCTACATCAATGGGTTCAAGTATATTACGTTGACCAGTTAGACGCTTGGAATTTCTCCACAGTTCAGCAGAAGAAAAAGGAGAGGAGGGGGTGGATGAAGCAGAAAAAAGTTGACTAACGAATAAACCGTTAAGTCTGGCGATTTCGTTCTTTATTAAAACATTGATATCCTTTAGCTTGTCACGCTGACCTAGTTTGTAGAAGGCTTCTTTCGACGTCTCAAGTGTTTGAGGGTGACTTGTACGTCTTGTCTATACTGATTACTGTTCGGGAGTAGCGTGGGAGAACAGAATTTGCACAGTGTGGGGACCTTCGCTCACCGGAATACATACGTCGTTAGGCGGATTTAGTCTTGCCTATTTCTGAATGTCAACAGTCGAATCTGTTCAGAGGTCGTGTTGTCAGCACGCATTTGAACCAGTGCTGTTCACCTCGTAAGCGTCTGTCCGTGAGCTGCAGACTCTGTTACCCAGTATTTCATTGGTTGCCCTGGTGGGCGCTTGGAACTTGTTTGGTTAGGACGTCTCCGCCGGAAGCTCAATGGCAATGAAAACAGTTGCTGCGTACTGCTGATGGGAAGGAACTGCCAGGTGATCTAATGCTGTCTGGGTAAAATGTCCAACTCATTTGCTACGAACCTCAAGGAAGACTGAAAAATCGAGCCTGACCAGAAAGTGTCTTCTCGAATATAACCTCGTTGTTTGGATTTTAACCGGGGTAGAAGGACTTGTGAATTAAGACAAACCACCGAAGAACTTAAACCTTGTAGTTCAGTTTAGATCAGTTTTTCAGCGTCCGAGTTATCTTTACACATAAAATGCGCATTGTACGTTTGAAGAGCTGACTGAGTCAGTGAGGCAAACGCCGAACGTTTCCAAGATCTGCAGGGTTTCGAAATGCTACCCTCAACCAACATTGAGGAAGACCTAATGGCCACGGGGAATCTATTCGTCATACAATATCCCTCTCTCTCGTAAATTAAGCCCGACTTGTGCTTGGTACGAATACGATAATGTCTGCTCCAGTCGGCCTCGATGATATCACGGACTGTACTCCGCAGCAGCAGATTTGGATAGGTCAACCCGTTCGCCTCGCAAGAGACGGAGAGAAGGTGCAAGAACCGCTTTCACGTCGTGACGAACCGTGTCGAGCCGCGTCCTGAGTTGACTCCCGCTTCAATGTCTCCACGTGCGTAACGGCGCTGGGTCGAGTGCAGCCATAGTGAGCTCGTGGGCTGGACGTCAAAGAGTATTTGAAGAAGAAGATGGGCACACCAGAACAGGTTTATTTAGATGCTGACGGTTCGAGGAGCTTGGTCGGCTTTCCATTGTCAAAACGGAAAAAGCACTTAATTGACCAGAAATCCCAAGTGGCGTGTCACGTTGGTCGGCCTTCTGATGATCGATTTTTTTCTCCTCTCGCCGTCCCGGCCTCTCGGGGGATGATTGACGGGCATTTTGTCTGCGTGCTTTGTGAGTCACCACTCCGTCGGGGGAAGATAATTGAACCAGTGTCGGGTTGTCGGTCTGGTGGTTCTTGTTCTTCCTTACCGAGTAAATTCGCCATCGTGCTGTCTTCTTAAGTTCGGTGTGGTTGTTTGGTCCTGAGCTCTACGATTGTGATGACGTAGAACTTTGCAAGCTGCAGGAAGGTCCAGATGCCTGTTGATAGAGTGAGCATCGGAGAACCACGTCTCGAGAGTTAGCCGTTTTGCTTTTGTGCTGCCCCGGCCTAAGATTGTAGCTCACTGGAGATCGAAAGTATGCCCAGTTTCTCCAACGTGTGTTGTTGATTGAGAGTTTGGGTCTAACCTCCGAGTAGCCGATTTGTGCTCATGTGGGCGAGTCTGCAATTTCCGCCCGGTTTCTCTCAAACAGTTGTAGTCGCCCTCGTAGCAATTTATTTTGTAGATAACTGTCGAGGTTTCGGCGGGTGGCAATGGGTCCTTAGGTTGCATCAGATGGCCTCGAATTGTTGCCTGGGATCAGTGGGCTATGCCTACTCTGGCAGGTTGTAACAATCGAGAGACCGCCTCAGAGATCCCTTTAACGTAGGGAATGACCCTTCAGACTTCAGGTTGCTGCTCATTTGGCCGTCGTCTGTGCGCCCGACGTCTGCTTCTCTCGATAAAATGTGTGGGATAACCATTTGCTGCAAATAGGTTCTGAAGATACATTCGTTCGGCTCTTTTTATCTTCTGGCGTGCTGCAATGTGTTTCGACTCTTTGGAATAGAGTGCGGACACAGCTATGTTTGTGAGACCGCCGTAGTCGTCTTTTTAATGGCCTGCGATATCGTCGCGATATTGTCGCAGCAAGTACAGACTGTCTCATTTGAGATAAAGTCGGCGTACTTCACTCGAAGGATGATCCTCAAACAGTGGCGGGCAAATACCTCCAGTTTAAGCTCATCCTCCACGAGTACAGTCCAGCATTCGCCAGTTCGACTGTCGTGGCCGACGAGGTTCACAGTGTGCTGCATAGCAGAGCCAGGACAGACAGGGTGACATGTATGTGAGTTAGTTTATAGGGGTCGCAGTCCTGCACAGCATCTAACTCACTCTCATTCTCCTCCCCTCCTGCGTCCGGCGTCAAAAACATAGTCAAAGGCGGAAGATGACGCAGGTGACTGGCATGGCCGGACCCGCATCTAGGCGTGCCAATTCACGCCCCCTGGTCCACGACAAACACTTCACCAGGATTTTAACCAGCAACAAAATGGGGGGTGGCAGAAATCCCGATCGGCGCGAAGTGAGCCGTCAACTGGCCTGCCACCGCACCCCAAATGCTGACATTTGTTATGGTTGTGCATTCCCTAAAACACCTGCCAGTATCCAACGTGGCCCCCGTGTCGGTCCAGCGCATCTGCAGCGTGGCCCATTTTGGGGGTCCAACATTTACAACTATTCAGAAGGAGCGACCAAACGGGGACAGAGATGTCGCGTCGGGTTCATAGACCAACAGCGCCAGTTTAGGAGACAATGTCGTTCTTACTCTGCCCATTCGGCAGTAGCCTCACGCCGAGGTATTTAAAACTGTCTACATCTTCACGCTGGCAACCATTGCACTCATGAGGTGCTTTCTTCTTTTCAGGGATGTCATATGAAATCGCTTTGGACTTTCCAGAGTTTTTGGAAAAACCGACGGATTTAGCGACTTTATTTACCCGTAACACGATAAACTGTAGATTGTCCAAGTCTGAAACGAGAAAAGCAATATCCTCAGTGTAGTTGACATCGGTCAGCCGGCGGCTGGGTGCAAACTCCACACTCTCAAAACCATGAGAGGCCATTCCGAGAATCCAATCAGTGGGATAGTTGAATAGAATGGATGAGAGGATGCAATACTATCGAACACCAGACCCGATATCGAGCGACTGGGAGAGGTTGGTATGGACTCGAAGTCGCGCGGTGGTTAAGTGCTAGTAGGTCTTCACCGTGGCGAGGATTTTGACTGGCACACCTACAAGTTTCATTACGTGTCCGAGGCATTCCCAATGAACAGAATCGAACGCAGCGCCGAGGTCAGCACAGCAGACGGCCCTCTGTTGTTGGTAGCTAAGGCGGAATTCGAGAATGCTCCACAGTGTAGATATCTGCGCGTCACATCTACGCCCGGCCTAGAATCGCCTGAAAAGGACGGCGGCGAAGACCTTTGTGGCAACATCGATGAGGCTTGTACCGCTGCAGGTTGCACATATTGTCCTATTATTCGTACTGAAGGCAGGTGCAAGTATGCTCGAGATGTAAGTATCAGGAATTATCGCATAACTCCAAGCTTGTTCAATCAAATGGCGCCGGAATTCCGGTAAAGGGCACACCATCTTCTCTGGATGCCTTGTTGTTACGCAGCCTTTGTATTGCGCCAGTGTCCTCTTCTTCAGAAGGGGGGTCGCATGGCTCTGTATAGACTGCGGAGGGATAATATTCTGCGATGGGTGTGATGGGGTATCTATGAAAGTTGACAAGTGTTGGAAGTGCTCATGCCAGCGATTGATCTTCGTCGATTTGTTAACAACAGAAGCGCCATTTGCATGGTGAACAGAGTCGCTCACTGCCGGGGACTTACCACTAACTGTTGTTTTTGAATTTCCTCAGAAATCAACCGCGAATTTGGAGTAGGTCAGTATATTCCAGGTTCATAGGCGTATACCCAATTTTGGGTGTATGTATGTATGGTCCATCAGCCACAGCGGATAACACCGCAATATTTAATAACTACCTACAGGCAGCTAGTAGTATATTTTAGTGTAAGAGGATAGCATACTAGCAGCATAGTTACTAGCTATGAGCCCACCAACACGATTTGTGACACCTAGGCGCCTCGCACACGACGTTTTGAGTGCAGAGTAGTGAATTCCAAGCATGTACGATCGGGAACATTGTGCGATCCATGGGCCTTACTAATTCTGGCACCACGGATCGGTCTGCCATAGTGAACACAGCTGTAGGACCTCGAACTGACGATCGACCCAACCGGTTGTAAAACCCTCCTTTAAATACCAAATCAGCCGATGTTCGTCGCAATGATGGAAACACGTGTTGGCGACAAATAGTCGGTTCTGATCAGTAATACTCAACATTCTCTCCCCATTGTTGTATCACGAACTAAACCCAAAGCAGCCAATAAGGTGACTGTTTGAATAGTCGCCTGATCCAGTTAAGCCTTTCCAGGCTCCTGCAACAGCCAGCAGATCCCGGCTAGGGAGTTTCTCAACTAATGCATACCGACCGCGAGTAAAATATATTTCAGTTCAGTTCAGTTTTTATTAAGGAGTATATAGGCGTGCGACTTTGAACTCCCTATTGGTAAAAATCCTTTGAAACTAACACTGAGAATTGGAAAGTTGAAAAAAGATTGTGTGCATAAATGCAAGTGAAAGGCAGGTAACTGCCGGCTAGCTGAAAAAGGGTGAACATGAACGTTTCCTCGTGCAACGTAAGTAGTATAAGCGTATATAAGTTGGGTGGTGGGTTCTGGGAATGTGTGTGTGGCTTGTAATTGGTAAGCCAGATATGCGTCGAGTCCACACTTAAATAAGTCCACGGAGGAGGAGCGTACAACGTCATTAGGCAGGAAATTCCACACTGTAACGACTTTCGTCCACTGATCCTTGCTTTACCTGCGCGTAGTTTCATGGGATAACCGCGCAGAGCTCGTGTTCGATTGAGTGAAGTAATCACTGGGATCTAAGCAACAGTTGAGGCCGTTTACAATGCTGAATGTTAGTAGAAGGTCACTACGCAGTTGCCTGTGGGAAAGGAGAAACAGGTTGAGAGTTATCTCTGCAGTTGATGTTGCTTCGTACACGGAGACAACAGGTATGTTTGTAAAGTGACCCTTTAGTCGTACATAGGCCATCCGGTCATTGACTGGTTCGCAAGCAAGTAGTAAACGGTTCGTATGTTGCCAGAGGGCGATCGCCATCCTGTCTGCTAAAAGAGTCGCGCGGACTGCAGTGGTACGGGAGGAAGTGTGAATGGAGCCTCAGGATATTTATTTCCCGAGCGCCAGTTAAGAATTCGGGCTTTAGACAGGCAGCTGACATCCATATTTTACTCGTGAAGAATGCGCTGCGTCAGATTTTGGGTACCAGTGTCCGATACCTAGGGTCCGTTCTCCATTGAGTAGTCCGACTGACATACAAACCCCCACCACTGGGGCCGGGTTGCAAAGAGCATCGGTTCCCGCGGATGTAGTTTCATGAATGGTAATACTGCTTTCAGACATATTTTCGTGAGTTTTCTTAGGCCTCATGAGTACAGCCGGGACCCCAGCAGCCGCTCGGATCGTCTGTTCGAGACTGTCTCCTCTAGCGCTTTGGCTTAAGGAGCCAACTACAAGGCAGCGGTGGCAATCAATATTACTTAATGGTGGTTCACAGTCGCCGTGTCTCGGTGTCGTCATCGAGTGTCGGGGAATTTTATAGGGTTATTGGCGTCATGGATCCCAGTCATCCGAACTCTTGTAGCACCTTTGTTGCCAGTCCGCGACTGCGTATTCGCCAGACTCGAGAGTATGCTTATTTCGCGGCTTATCTTTGCCGATGGCCGTCCTAGTATTTTCCACCTATGGACTCGCAGGGTAGTCAGCCGCTATCCCAGAAGAACACTTTTAATACCTAATCCGCTTATGACAATCACAAACGTTTCAGTAGGCAACACGTGCGGTTCACACGGTGGAACGCACGAAAGGATTTGTCGGCAGGGTAGTCAGCAGCTATCCCGCGGATGCCGTTTCATGAATGGTAGTACTGCTTTCAGACATGTTTTCGTTACTTTTCTTGGACATCATGAGTACAGTTGGGACCCCAACAGCCGTTCGGATCATCTGTTCGAGACTGTCTCCTCTAGCGCTTTGGCTTAAGGAGCCGACCAAAAGGCAGCGGTAGCAAGCAAGACTACTTAATGATGGTTCACAGTCGCCGTGTCTCAGTGTCGTCATCGGGTTTGGGGAATTTTATAGGGTTGTCGGCGTCTCGGATCTAAGTCATCCGAACCCTTGTAGCTCCTTCGTTGCCGGTCCGCGACTGCGTATTCGTCAGACCTGAGAATATGCTTATTTCGCGGCCTGACCTTGCTAATGGCTGTACTAGTATTTTCCACCTATGGACTCGCAAGGTAATCAGCAGCTATCCCAGAAGAACACGTTTAATGCCGTATTCGCTTGTGACGGTAACAAGCCTGTCAGTAGGCAATACGTGTGGTCCACCCGGTGGACCGCCTACTTAAAAAAGCCCAAGTTTCATCCACTAGATCCTCAGTGGTGAAAACATTTTTTGGCGATGGCCAAACATAGAGATTTAAAGGATTCCAAGGCAGTATGTGAAAACGCGCACAATGCTGTTAATCCGAAGAACTTGAGCAGTTTAACAGGAGTCGCAGTGAAGACTATTCATACCGAATATTAAATGGCAAATAATTGCAATGTTGTAGTTTACAAAAGCGGCAAGACCAAAGTAGTCGGAAAACATTTGCCTCCGTTTTGAGATCGACAGTTCAAACAAAACGCAAGACCTTGTAGGCAAGGCTCAAGTACGCTGCCCTAGTCCCAGTGTAGGCACAATGTGGGCATTGTAAGCCGAAGAGGGATGATGAGATCGACTGTAGTGAAAGTAACCGAGGCTGTAACCGAGGCGGCAGCCTTATGTATGACAAGTCTACTGCGACATTAAAAAAAGCCTAAATTCCCCGCAAAAGACATGACTCACAGGAGACGCGGGGCAGCAATAATTCAAACCTAATAGTAAACGTAACCGTTACCTCAAAAGTAAGCTTAATCCTTTACGTAATTATAAACCCGACGCTGAACCTAAACTTAAAACTAAACCAAACCCTAAACCTACCACAAACAGTAGCCCTTATTCTAAACCTAACCTTAACCCTGAGCCAAATCCTAACCTCAACCTTAACCCCGACCCTAACCTTAACCGTATTTCGAGCTCCAACTGTAAACATAACCCCAGTCCTAACCTTAATCATAACCCCAAACCTAACCTTAACCGTAACCCAAACTCTAACCCTAACCTTAACACCGAACGTACACCTAAAGCGCAATATAAACCACAACTCCAATCGAATTCCCTAAACTTAACACAAACCCTAACCCTAAACTCAATTCTCAGTCTGGCACTAACCAAAACTCTAGAACTAAGCCAAACTCTAAACCAAACCACAAGGTTGCGCTTTTCTGTTTTAACTTTGGCTACTTTCCCGCTATCGATTTTAGCATCCTTCTTCGGCTTACTTTACTTGTATTGCCCACATTGCGTTTACACTTGAGACCAGGGTAGCGCCACCAACCCCTATCGTAAATCGTACATCTTTGTTGCAGTTTGTCGAATGCTAGATTGCCCTTTTTATGCATTTTTTACTAATTCAACCACTAGCCAGGCTTATGCCTGCAAGTACGTGGCCTAGAAGCCAATATAAGGACAGAATACTTAACAATGAATGTTAAGCACGGGTTAGAAATGCACCGCTGGGTGGAGTATGAGCATCCAGCGGAGCCGTCGGTAGTCCACAGTAGTTGGTACGGGAGCAGGACCTCACTGTGACCTTGTAGGGTGTGTTCAGCTTCAGTGCAGAGACCAAACAGGAAAGGCTGTTCGAGATGCAGATCCTCCTCATCGCGGCGTCGATCACCCCGACCGCTGTAACCTCGTAAGTGTACCGCTTTCTGGAGTCTCACCTAGACGGACTCCAAGATACGTGCATGTCAGTGGCGCTTTCATAAGTCACTGCGAAGGCGTCAAAGGACGCTGAAGTAACAAGAGGAAGCAGATGCTGTCACTTCACCTGCTTCTCCAGTGACTGCGAACGATAAAGTGCCGGCCAAGAGGCACTAGGTGTTCATTAAAGTAAACTTAATGACGAATTTAGGCAAAAGTTCGAGTTCCAGGTGTACGTATAGGTGAAGATAAGGCTGATCGGGCATTGGAGAACTGTGTTTTGAGGTTTCGAAATGGTGCCGGAGTCCATCGTTAGAGAAAACGGCAGCAACAAAAAAGCGACTATTATAGGGCGTGCTAACCAATCATCCATCAATAATGCAGGACTGGAGATGACTGGGCAGATCAATAAATCGATCGGCTGAGGTTTCACCCGAGGCCCAGGCCTCTATCAATCTTCGGCCTGTTTTATTTTCCGCGTAGCCGATTATCTTGGTGGCTGCAAAGTTAAACTCATGACCCATTTCGTAGGTGTGGACGGCCACTTGTGATAATGCGTTGCCTCGTCGCACAGCCAGCTTATGTTCGTATATGCATGATTCGGCCATGCGTCCACGTGTAGTTAAAAGGACAGTTTTGGCACGAGAGCGATACAGCACTCCAGATTGCGCTCAAGCCTTAACCGCTCTTTGATTTTTATGACCTTGCTGTGCATGGTGGCCTTGAGGCAGTGTGCAATTCCAACACCTAGCTCGGCGGCAATGCACTCGGTCGCTTCTTGAGCGTCTTTAATGTATGGCGGAGAATGCCATATCGTTGGTACCTTTGAAGTTTGGGTCTTCCGAGGGACGACCACCTAAGCAGCGACTTACGAATGTCTTCGAATAACAACTTTGTGCAAACTGGGCGCGGAGATAACAGACCCTACGTGCTCTTCACGCCGGATCCGTCTGGAGAGCGTCTTCAGAAGCCAATGTTCCGGTGCTCGATCAGCCTTCTGTCTCACTTATGTTGTATGATCTCTGCATATTCCGCTGGCCTTCTACTTCATAAGCAGTCGCCTTTTAGGAGCAACCGATGTTGTGATTTTGCCGAGTGCTCATATCCCGAATTTAGGGGGAAGCGGGGGGCCGACGACTGCAAACCCTTATCAGTCAAGAACATTGTTCACCTTTCGATTACTTTCTAACCTTCTGTGCTGCTGCACTGCCCAGTCGGCCCTTTTTTCTCTCTCTCAAAGGCATGATGCCGCTTCTGCTGTTTATCTACGGTCGCTTCTCCCTTGACGTGCAGCAGATACGGATTCCCTACGGTCAGATTGCTGGTCAACTGCTCTACATTGCTGGGCCACTTGTCGTTGGACTGTTGGTGAAGTACTACCTCCCCAAGCTGGCCACTAAGATTCGGCGATTGCTGCGGCCACTGGCAATTCTTACCACCGTCTTCTTGGTCGGCTTCGGAACGTACGTGAACCTGGCCATCTGCGCCCTGATTGGTCAATATCCCCTCCTCCTGGCCACAGCAACTGCTCTACCCTGGATTGGCTTCCTGGCTGCCGGCCTTGTCGCCTTCTTGCTTCGGAGGTCACGCGCCGAAATTCTCACCATTGCCATAGAGACGGGCATACAAAATATCGGCATAGCCGTCCTCGTGCTGATCTACTCGATGCCTCAACCGGAGGGCGATATTGGTGCTGTGATGCCCCTAGCCGTGTCCATATTCACGCCTCTGCCTCTGATGATCGCGCTGATTGTTCTCAGTATTCGGGAGAGGCGATGTGCCTGTTGCCGAAGGCGGTCGAAGCGCACATCGCTGGCACAGCAGGTGGAGACTCCAGGTTGGATTGACGCCTGTGGGGAAGGGGAAGGCGATGAAGGTGACGGACTGAGAGCTCTACGGTCCTAGAAGCCCCATGGTGATTTAACTGCTGTTACTGTCTTTAAAAACTGTCCATCAGTACTTTGTTTTGTGCAGTCCAAGAACGCCAAGGACTTGTTGGCCAGACCAATGCCTCTCCACGTGCATGCACCTGATTCAGAAATCACACCGTTATTCTTTTTATAATATGATTGCTTGGTGTTCATTTGCAAACGTCAACCAATATAGGGCAATGTGATGCTTATCAATGTTCTTCATAATTTAATGGGCGTCAAGGTCTGTAGTGAGGTATTCTAACAGTAGAAGGCTGTGTAAACCAAGACACTTATTTTAATGGGCGAAAAATCTCTAAGCAATTGACAACAGACCCAAATGAATCGACTGAAATTCTAAAATACAAGAGATGGGCTAACTCATGAAATGTTAGCCGAAATTCTAAACCGTGTTTTTGCTTCGAAAAGATTAATTAAGTAAGGTTGTAAAACTAATAATCAAGCAGCATAATTCTATAATAAATCCGTTACTTCAGGATGCTGGCTTTCGGGGAACTTCTTTTTGACGGCAGGCAAAAACCATGCTCTGTAAAAAGTAACTACTTACGTCGCATGCACTTTTCTCATTGATTTTCGACGTCCTTAAAAATTCAATTAAATTCCATGGAAAACACGCACAAAAATATATATTCGGTAGACAATTACTTCTTCTTCGGGGTTGATCATGGAAGAAAGGGCATACTACGGTTTACAAAAAGTGTTCCAATTCCTGATTAGTTTTGGACATGACATGGTGTTACATTTGCATTCGGGGTTTCCAAACTACATCCGTATATTTTCCTCGTACGGAAAACCGTAAATTTGTATATGGCATTAAGAGGAGACTATATGGGGTATAGAAATTTAATAACAGATTTGAGTCATATTGTTAAATTTACAAGCCACATTAGTAAATGCAGAGACATGACGTTTTACGACGGCCATTTCATGGTATTGAGAAATTCCACAATTACAAACTTTTTAAAAACCCAATTGAACCCCTTCCTCATGTGCAAAATTTGAAGATGCAAGCTCCTACCAAATGAGTAAAAAATGAGTATTTTTTGTATTTTTTCCATGAGATATAAATCAATTCTTAAGAGTTTTGAGAATGATTGAGAAGCATGCGTGTTACTTAAGTAGTCACTTTTACGATGTAGCATGGTTATTTTTGCTGGTTTCCTACTGAGTACATTCAGCAGGGCAATCCGTCTGGATACCTATGGATATCGATCCAATTCGTCTCTGTGCACTTAGATTTTAGGTATTTATTTGTGTCAGATGGTTGTCGATTGTCGAAATAGCACGAATATTTGCCTAGTAGGGTCACCTTGACGACAGATGTAGGAGTAACTATAACACTCGCACAACGTATGAAGCATCAAACATTGGCTAGTATTAGTGCAACGGAGTCATTCACTATATGCTGATGATTAGAACTCACATCAAGGTGGTCAACTAATATGGAACCTTGAATAATCGAGAGGCTTACGTTTGGGATCCCCACAGCATCACTCACGCCGATCCTCGTCCCTTTGCCTAGTAACGCTTGCGAAAAGAGCTGTATATATTGATATTCCTTCACACTTTCCAGGGATTTTATGGTTCGTTTCACGTCTGCGGACACAAACCTACATGATTCTGCAGAGCTGCATTAAATATATACGACGAATCTCAAGTGAAACCACATCATTTAAATGCGGCGCATTAAAATGTTCTTCTATAGATTATCTCATTTCTCATCCACCCACGGATAATCTCAGTTCAGAAGGTGCACTGTGTCGAAGCTCGCACTGCAAAGAATTTCTATGAAACCAGTTTAATCTCCTATGTGAGTGAATGTCCTACAGCACGATATTCGGTTTGCAAAGCATAAAATAAACAAAGTATTCGATGGATGGAAAGTGTGGCATGAATAAGGCACATACAGAAAGCAGGACAAATTACAGGTGTTTGTCATGATACCTCTGCAGATAACATCTCTTTTTCCCCGCCATGGTTAATGCCTTGTCTGGTCAACGATTGGTCTGACTTCTTTTAACCACTCCGAGTCAACGCCACGAAAGCTTGTGAAGTCACTTCTTTCAGGGAACAGAGGGTCGCATCAAATTGGAATCATGTGTGCCGTACGCGTGCACCAAGTTATTTCGATGAGAATCTATAATTTAGGCAGAATGATATTACCGACAAAGACAAGGGAGACTGGAATGGCCATTTCTGGCTTATTAGCCGTCGTCAGCCAGCCATACCCAAGCCCGAAGTGTGGAACACCCGAGCCTCGAACTCGCGACCTGTTGGTTTAGAAGTCAACGCCTCTACTCACCGGGCCACGAGCCCGTTGCCCTGTCGGTTTTCGATCGGGAATATACAATGTTAGGGGGCGCAATGTTAGAGGCGTTGACTTCTAAACCAACAGGTCGCGAGTTCGAGGCTCGGGTGTTCCACACTTCGGGCTTGGATATGGCTGGCTGACGACGGCTAATAAGCCAGAAATGGCCATTCCAGTCTCCCTTGTCTTTGTCGGTAATATCATTCTGCCTATATATCATGCGCCGCTGCGCGGCTGCTGGTTGGGCTCGAGAGAGAGCCCTTAAGGCAAAACGGAACGAGTGAGTTCCGTATCCACGATCGGTGAGCGCCCCCTAACAATCTATAATTTATCGCTTTTTAATTTCCTGAGAAACTATCTACGAAGTTGGATTAGTTCAGTTTATTCAAGGTCTATAGGCTCAGACCGAGAATTTTATACATGAATATTTGGGCCAAAGTACATCAGCCACAGCGGGTAACCGCGTAATATTCATTAACCGCCGACAGACAGCTAGTAGTATACTTTAGGGTAAGGAGATACCATACTAACAGCACAGGTACTAGCCAAAAGCCCATACACGCGTGTTTCGCCGATGTTTTGCCGCTGCATGGCGCAGCTGCGAGGAGTTCGGCTCGACAGTGAGTCTTCCAGCATTCCTCGTCTGTTATCTGGTATATACTCCAATTTACAAATTGTCGCTTTTTAATTTTCTGAGAAATTATCTACGAAGCTGGAGTATTTCAGTTTATTCAAGGTCTATAGGCTGATGGACTTTGGCCCAAATATTCATGTAGAAAATTCTTGGTCTGAGCCTATAGACCTTGAATAAACTGAACTACTCCAACTTCGTAGATACCTTCTCAGGAAATTAAACAGCGACAATTTGTAGATCGGAGTATCTACCAGAAAACGGACAGGGAATGCTGGGGGACCTACTGACGAGCCGAACCCCTCGCAGCTGCGCCATACAGCGGCAAAACATCGGCGAAACACGCGTGTATGGGCTTTTGGCTAGTACGTGTACTGTTGTATGCCATCACCTTACCCTAAAATTGATAATTTCCATGTGAGACCAAAGTGATAAAATTTTTGCATTGTCTAAGTTCTGAGAATATTCCCATGTTACAATTGAAAAGTCAATTTAGCAAACACTCGGTAACTCGTCCTCAGGCCAAAACAGTTACATATAAGTTAAAATTTGCGAAGTTACAGGATTCTTGAGAGATTCATGGGCTATTAAAACTCATCGTTCCCACCCCACTCACTGTTCCAACGCTATCCGCATTGCGAGGCTTGCTACGGCGTTGTCGGCGTGTTATGATCATTGGGTCAAGGGGGCGAGGGGGAGGGGTGACATAGACTGTGAGTGATGTTTGTAAGTCGGGTACGTTGAGCACACACCACTGCCATCGGGAGGTTGGGGCGACGCGCAATCATCACCTGGGGTCGGCGTTGGCCACGGACAGTTCTCTGCAGAGTTCGAGGCGGACAACGAAATCACGTTCCTCGATGTTCTTCTTTCCAGACAAGAGGATAGATCTATTCAGCGTAGAGTATTTCGAAAGAAAACCTGGACGGGAAAATACATTAACTTTCGCAGTTTTTGTTACCCTAAATTTTAAACGCAATTGGGTCCTGGGGTTGGCAGCTAGAGTGCGACGTATCTGCTCACCTGAGACTGTTGAGGCAGAACGCATGCAGCTGTGGGATTTACTCAATGAAAACGGATACCCAGAAAGATTTATCCTCCGAAATATAGGGGAGCGCACTGCAAAGCCCACCATGACAACTGCAGAAAAAGACGTATTTATAAGAATACCTTTTCAAAGGGACGCAGCAAGTGACCTAGTAAGAAGACGTCTGAAGACAGCGATCACTAACCCTTTCCCCGCGGCGAACTTACGTGCATGTTTCACTAACTCTCCCCTCCTACGCTTGGGAGGTAAAGACCAGCTCCCGTTGCAGACCACATTGATGTGCATTTTCTCATTCACTTGCTCATGTGGGGCGGGGTATATTGGCCGTACAATAAGTCGCCTGGTAACGAGGACTCGTAAACATGTACAGTACCTGTGCTAACTCATGAAATGTCATGAATTAACACAGGTTAACGACTTAAACGCAGAATCGGTAAACACTACGGCTCCCAACGTCTGATAACGGAAAATAAAAGATGTGTCAAAGAAATAAGGCAAAGTTTGGTTAAGAAAATATTATTTACTGAGATAAAAATAAATACTTTTCGACAAAAGTCACATTTTCGAGAAACGCCTATATTACAACCAAGTTAATAAAGGCTAGGTATGAGGGCGTATAAAGGACGAGGGCGCATAAAAGGTCAAAAATAATTAAGGACAGAAACAGATACAAAAATTAGTACTTTGTTGATTGTCCATTTGAATTAATAACGGCAGAAAGTCTGTCAGACATAGACATGACGAGGTTATCTATGGTCGATTGTGAAATGTAATTACTGAGTATGAAATCCAATTTTTCCTGCATTGAAAGAGTCTTCTTAGCTTTGTGCCAATTTCTTTTGACTATTCCAAAAAGATTTTCGATAGGATTCAAATCGGGACTGTTGGCCGGGATAAAAGTGGATTGGAGGCCGATGGCGGATGTTCCCGTTGAATGGCCTCAATGGGCATGCAATGAAACTTTTTTAATGTACGACGAATAAAATT